AGCACCCTGACCCTTCTGGGACCACCACCACATAACTGCCAGGGAATGGTCTCCCAAAAAGACTTTCTACTTCTCTCCCAGCATGTTCTTTTGGTCTCGGGTACCTGAACAGGGTCAACAGTGACAAAAACATCTGGAACCTTTGTCTTTAAACTAGAATTTATTGGTATACAAAACTCCATTTCATAGATAAAGTGGCACATCTTTGCAGCTTCTATTGCACCAAGTATTGAAGATTAAAAACAAACAAACAAACAAACAAAAGAAACATTTGGTTTTTAAAACACTGCAAATAGCCAAGTACAGTACTTTGGTAAATAAAAAATAAAATGGTTCATATTAATAAAATGGTTCATTACAATCTGAGGAAATGAACAACACAGAGGGAATGAACTATGGACATGAGACAACGGCTTCGTCTCTCCCCGACACGCTCCATAGGTATAAGGCAAGACTCGCTAAGTCTATGAATCATGACCCCATGGAGGTCTTAGATATCTCCAGACTGAAGCTAGAACAAGTATAGTGCAATTTGGGGGGGGGGGGGGGGGAAGAGCGGGTTCCTGAGCCTGGGAGGGTCCCTGCTGCTCCCAGGGCAGACACACTGGCCCTCCGTCATGAAGGGGATGGCGCTCACCAGCACTCCGACACCAGCACGAGGAACATGGAGGCCTGAACTCAGACTCAGGCTTTCTTCTCCTTCTCACAGAGTTCAGTTTTGGTGAAGGATGCTGGGACGGAAGAAGGAAGACCAAGGCCCTTTCCATCTGGGAAAACCAACCACAGGGCCAAAAAGGGGAAGAGTCCCACCCCTGGATCTCTCCATGGGGCATAAGGACCTGCCAGGGGCTCGGGCCACAGGTGAGGTTCATGGTGGGGCTCGGGTACTCTGTCACAGACGGCTGGCAGCAGGGAGTTGGATGTGGACACACGGGGGACTGGGGCAGACCAGCCATTCCATCAGCACACGGGCGGAAGTCTTGGACCACAGGTATGTCCGGCTTAAAATACAATCACCATGCGGACCATACTTCTATTGAAATACATTCTTTACTGGTACCAGCCTTTTCTTGAGTAATTTTGCAAGACTGTGAGATGTTTTAATCAAGCTACAAAGTAGCCCTAAGCAGGACAGAGAGAGACTCCAGAAGCTAACTCCTTAGAAGAAGGAGTTGGGAGCCTGGGGTTTTCACTGGGCATCACACCTCGGGACAGAACAGGCCCAGGTAGTCTGCTGGGCCCAGTACATGTGTGTGTGGTACACACCATGAGGTCCACACGGAAGAAGCACTCTGGGTGGAACAGGTACTCCATTTCCCTCTCCCCTGGCAGCAGACTGGCTGGATGTGAAAACTGCCGCTCACAGCTTCATTTCACCAATGTCAGAGGAAACGCATCTTTGGCTCGAGAGCCAGGGAAGCAGACCCTGTAAAAAGTATCATTCTGAAATTGCCCCGAACAATGATCTGAAGGCCCTGGAGTTCAGCAAAACCTGCTCTGAAAGCTGGGATGAATGAGGGGCGGATAGGGAGACTCACAGACAGACGAAACGGCAGCAGGCTGCCTACAGGTTTGCAACAAACAGAGTCTTTGAGGTAAAAGGAAAAAAAAAGGGGGAGGGGGGCATCAGGAGCTACGCATCCACCCAGAGGAGGAGTCAGGCCCAGGCAAGGCCCGCTGAAGACATGCTGAATTCACGCAGCACCATTCCCAGGCCACCCAGAGAGACCCTTTCAGTCAGCTCCGACCGGGAACCCACGCCGACTGGCTATCTGAGCTGCTCGTCTGCTTCACAGAGGTAAACTGATCGCATTCCCCAGCAACCCAGTAAAACCCAGGCAGAGCCGAGAGTTTGCCAGAACCAGAGAAACTGCACGATGACAACATGACCCTCCACTGGTCTCATTCGGTGTTGAAAGTCCATCCGATAACTTCCCACTTGATCTGTGAACGCCCCACGCAGGGGAGGCAGCTCCTGGCAGCCCAGGCCAGACTCTTCCCTCTGTCCAAGTCCCCTGGGGAGGCGGGGCAGGAGCAATGTCTATACAGGGGGCCCCTGAGCCCAGTTCTAGGTGCTCCACAGTAAGATCCCAATTCACAAGCCCTCGAATAAAAATGGGTTTGGAGATGTTTTCGGAAAGCATGAAAGAAACTACAGACAATCTCAGTGAACATTTAGGGTTCTTTCTGCCGCAATTCCTCAGCCAAACTTTACTCCTGAAAGCTCATGCTCCTGTTATTGAAAAATTAAATACACATAAACTTTCTATCTCTCTAATATCTCCTGGTGGCAACACTAGTATTTATAAGTTTTGGTTCCTATGTTGTTTAAATACATCTACCTCTGTAGTATAAAGCTGTTGCCACTGAAGTTTTATTTATTTTAACCTTTTAAAAAAAATCTTCTTTTTTAAAATCCATAAAACTTTTATATGTAGTTTATAAAACTAATAAGCAGATATTGAACTCATCCCCTTTCTCCTGGCCTCATTAAAAGCTACCCATACAATTCCAAGAAACATAAACTTAGACTAGCCACAATGTAACCCAGAAGTGAAGCGAGATGCACTTCCTAATGTGGAGTGCACTAAGAACTACTTACTAGGAAACGGCTACTGAAAATACTCATCCCAGGCCTAAACATACTGCACCTGCACTTGGGCTGCCAAGAAAGTAACTGTAAAATGCCTACTAAGGCAATCACATTTACTGATCTACCTTATACTGCCTGAAACTGAGATGGTGGGGGGAAAAAAAAAAAACCTTAGCTGATTACATCACTAAAGCTGGCTTCATGGGCCCCAATCCTAAAAATTTACATACTAAACACAGACCAAAATTATGAACTGGTAATAAAAGAAATTTTCTGAAGACATCTGATTAGTTTTTGAAACCCTTAAATCTACCATCTGAATCAGATAATTTATAAATGAAAAGTGCCTAATATTCTTTAAGAACTTTTTAGCAGCATCTACACTTCTAAAGCCTAGCGGGAATGCCTTCATTTACCACATAAATTAAGAAATTCTACTATGTCTGTCCATTTGTCCCCAAGCTATTTCTGACTCCTAATTTTGCGGAATTTCTGGAATCCAACCTTGACCTTTCTGAGAGGACCACGTCTCCTGCACTTCTTGGTACAAAGCAGGCAGGAAAGAGGCAGGAAAGAGAGTCCCTGCCAAGAAGCCCAGTGACAGTGAGGAGTCTGTACCAAGATGACAATCAAGAGAGCAGGAGCCCCTAACGTAATGGCCCTCACTCCCATGGAGACTGTAAGGCAATAGGGACTCTTCCCCGGTCAGGACTGAAGACGAGGGCCTCAAAGTCAGGACTCTGCAACAACAAAAAACGCCATGCACTTTCTAAATCTGCTACATAAACAATGTACTGTACTAGGAAGAAACCCAAACCGCAATGTCCTGGGAGGAATTCCAAGAGACTAGTGGTGCTCCACCAAAAAAAGTCACCAGAGTCAAACAAACAGAAAATTAATACACATCATTAAAACTGAAGAGAACAAACCCCTGCTTGATAAAGACAGTGCAATAAAACCAGGGCCAGTCTAGACAAAGATACATCTAGATATCCAGAACTTTTTTTTTTTAGGAGTTTTCCCTTTGCCTTGGAACTTGTATCATTTTATACTTGAGAGGGGTTGGGGAAATAACAATTTAACTTCTGACTCAGAATCTGTATTTGTCTCAGTGTGGTAGAGACTGACCAAGAATAGCCACTTGCATCCATTTTAAAACTTACATCCACCCGTTTTAGGAATGACATCCATCCACAACCTGAACCTGTCATTTCAGAACTGTGTGTGGTATCATTCAAAAGGCCTCAGACAAAAAAACAAATAGTATGCCTTCTGCCCAACAATTCAACCTAAGTCACTGACAACATAAGAAGGATGCCATAGTTTTTCCAGCATCAAACCACACAGAAAGCTTAAGTTTTAATAAAGAAAGTGCATCATTTTCACTAACCTAAAAACATTTAGCAGTAGGTAATGCTACCTTTTATTTCTCTCAAGCCATCTTTCTAAATCTACAACAGTAAGAAAGAAAATGGTCATTTCAGCTGTGAACATAAAAACTTTAGATATTATTCCAGACATTCTCCCCAACAACCTTCCTAGGCAAAACCTGAGTAATGTTTTGATTATTCCATTTCCATGTATGAATTCTCCTTCCATATGATCAGAATTCCAGTACTGAATCAGAAGCAGCAACATACCATCTTCCCTTTGTCAAGAAACAAGAACGCAAAACTCAAAACTACCACCACACAGTTCAGTCAAATTCAGGTCTTGCCAAAAGTCAGTGCATTTATCAGAAGGCTGAATACCAACCACTAACAACACCTGTATCCTGTCTGAAATAACATCAGAATTAGGAAGGAGAGAACTGTAGCTGTTTGAATTTCCACCGTGACTATAGGCCACAACCGCCATCTCCAATTACTCTGGAAAAACACTTCCTCGATTATCTTCTGATTAACTTGGATTAGAAGAAAGTTAATTCAAAACATGTTCCTGAGTTGGAGAATGTTTATAAACTATCCTGTATACTAATGACATGTTTGAAAATGAAATTAAAAAAAATGTATCATTCAGAATTTCTTATTCAATCTATCATTCAAAATTTCTTATTCAATCTAAACTATTTTATAAACAATTACCCAAAACTCATTCCAAGTATTATGGAAAGATCCCAAGGTGACTAAACTCTGATTTTTTTCGGGGGAGGGGAAGGGGGAGGGAGGGAGAAGATATGAGTTGGGGGAGTGGGGCGGGGGGAGGGGGGAGGAAACATATCTCAAAGTTGTTTTTTTTTCCTGTCCTAACCCTACCCACCACGAAATCAACTCAGTATTTTAATTCAGAACATGAATGGCTTTGCTGTTCTTCCAGAAAACAAAAAATATATATATAATTAACAAAACTTTGAACAGAAAGAGGAGGCAGCTGGAAGGAAACTAAGTGTGTGTGTGTGTGTGTGTGTGTGTGTGTGTGTATGTGTGTGTAGGTTCTGAGGGTTGTGTTTCATCTGCAAAGGGTGGCCTCACTGGAAACAGTGGCCTCTGTACGCAGCTCCCCATTGTTCATTCATTTCTCTCAACTCCCAGGGGGCCAGAGTCAGATGTTGAGAGCAGCAAAGGTCTTCACCAAGGTGACCTGCGTGTTCACGTCGGCTTCACTCCTGTTGTTGTCCCGGGGGCTACTCCTGCTCTCCAGAGCTTTGTGGCGATGCCGCTCCTCCTGGCGTTTCTTCTTCTCCAGTCGCTGCTGCTCTCTCTTCTGTCTGTTTGTGATCTGAAAGAACCGAGTCCTGGGTGAGCTGCCGGCATGGCAGATTCCACCGCCTTTCAACAACAATGGGAAAACGCAAGGACCAGCGCAAGAATAATTCATTTTCATTAAGTGTTCAAATTTACTTTTAATTTTACATTCCCAGAATGAGCTAGTTGAAAAAAAAATTATTCCAGCCTTTTCATAGGCCAACTCCAAATAAATTACAGAAGCATAACCTTGCCCAGCAATATGCAAACATGACACCGGCTACCTTTCTATTTGTATATAATGATGTGCGCCAGGCCAGTCTAACAAAATCCTCAGAAGTCAGTGCATCTTTGCCTCTGCCAGTGGCTTGGCACAGTACGCTGCATTGGGAGCCCTGAACTTCTTGGTGAAAGTCTTTAAATTAATTCCAAATTTAGTAAAATGAACTGCTGCTATATACTAGGACCATATATAGCTTTTGGGGGAGCACTTGACAATCTATCTGTTCACTGCAGACGATGATTATCTACAAAAACAAAGGCTGGGATTTTTCTAACGGATGGAGACGAGGCATTTGCACCCAGAGAAGAGGCTGGCCATCACAGTCACACACAAAATGCCACGCTGGGGGTGCCTCTTTCCATGGACACTGTGCAACATGAGAAGAAAAGGCACGGTCTTCACGTTGCTTCACAAACTCTTGTGTGAGCCTCATATTTTCTACCACAGCTACTTTTCAGGAATCAAAAGAAACTCATAAACCAGGATACGTCCCTAGTTCTCCTCCCACTCCCACTGCATTTCAGCAGCACCACTGACGGCCTTCCAGTCCGTCTTTCGTACCTTTTGGAGCTGATTCTTGTTTGCCTTGTTTTCCTCACTGGGGCTGGTCCGCACCTTATTGTTTTCAGTCCGGCATTCACTTAAGGCCTGATTTCCAAAGAGTTTGGCGCCACTGCCACCCTCCTCCCATAAGGGATTGCACTGCTTCAGCACTCGGCCACTGGGATCCACATTCTCCTCTGCACCTGCCAAAGAAATATGTTTTACTGAAACCGAGAAACAATGGGGCTGGAGTGATAGCACAGCGGGTAGGGTCTTTGCCTTGCACACGGCCAACCCAGAATTCTGGGTTCGAATCCCAGCATTCCATATGGTCCCCTGAGAACTGCCAGGAGTAATTCCTGCGTACAAAGCCAGGAGTAACCCCTGGGCATCGCCGGGTGTGACCCAAAAAAAAGCAGAAAAAAAAAAAAGAACTGAGAAACAAGATCGACAACATGATAGTTGCTAAAATACTATAAAAATGACCTGGGTACCCAGAGAATCTCTTATCTGGATAGCAAATTTCCGTGGGATAAATGTCTTTCCTTTTTTTTTTTTTTTTTGCACTCCAGATGACACCCAGCATTGCTCAGGGGTTACTCCTGGCTCTGCACTCAGGAATTACTCCTGCCGGTGCTTGGGGGACCATAAGGGATGCCGAGGATTGAACTCAGGTTGGCCGCATGCAAGGCAAATGCCCTACCCGCTATACTATCGCTCTGGCCCAGGGTAAATTTCAATACAGTCAAAACAGTAGGGGGCACGGGGGGGGGGGGGGGGTAGTGAGGGAAGGAGGAAATTTAGTTAAAATGTTTAATGACAAAGTTAAAATGCAGAAACCCCTTGTCTCTTTGTCCCATGCCTGATAGACACAACAGCAGACAGTCAAGAGTCTGGATAGGGCCATTCCAGCATTATAAAGACTAAGTTACTCAGGTCTAATAAGGTATAGTAGCACTGTCCTCCCACTGTTCATCGATTTGCTCGAGCGGGCACCAGTAACATCTCCATTGTGAGACTTGTTACTGTTTTTTGGTGTATCTAATATGTCACGGTTAGCTTGCCAGGCTTTGCCATGCGGGCCAGATGAAAACTTGTAAGTCTGTAACTGTATCCCACGGTGATCCATTAAGAAAATAAATTAAAAAAAAAAAGATGACCAAAGCTACATCTTGCATCCTCCATAATTTAGATTTGTGGCAGAGGAATGAAGTTTGAGAAGCTACCGCTACTGAAGCAGAGGAAAAAAATAGGTGTGATGTGAAGAGAAGGAGGTTCACAGGTGCCTTATCACTCAGTTCAATCTGTTTATAATACCATACTTCATGCTGCTCTTCCTCCTAACTCGGATTAATGCCTTGTGTATTACTATATTATAAAGCTATTTAATTAGGGACTACAATTTTAAATTTTTGCTTGGTGCCATTGTTTGCTATGCCTGTTTGATAATATGTTACTCATATTTTTTATTTTAATTTTAATTTTCATATTTTAACACATTATTTAACACTTCCTACTCATCTATGCCTCTTGGTGAGCCTAGCAAGCTACCGAGAGTATCCTGCCCACATGGGCAGAGTCTGGCAAGCTCCCCGTGGCGTTAGAAAAGACGAAGTCATGAAATTTACATACAAGTGGTACTACATGGAAAGTATCATGTTAAGCGAAATGACTCAGAAAGAAAGGGATAGACATAGAAAGATTGCATTCATCTGGGGAACATAAAGTAACAAAATAGGAGACTAACACCCAAGAATGACCGAGATTAGTACCAGAAATTTTACTCCATGGCTTGGAGGCCAGCCACACATGCTAGGGGAGAAGGGAGCACCAAATAAAGGGTGTTGGGAGGATCCTCCCAGGATGGGAGAAGCATGCTGAAAGTAAGACTATAAACCAAACATGATTGTCACCCATTGCCTCTTTTGCAAACCACAACACCCAATAAGACAGAGAGAGAACAAAAGGGAATGCCCTGCCACAGAGGCAGGGTGGGATGGGGGGGTGGGATACTGGGATCCGTGGTGGTGGGAAATGGGCACTGATGGAGGGATGGGTATTTGATCATTGTATAATTGAAACCCAAGCACAAAAATTTGTAAGTCTACAACTGTACCTCATGATGTCTCACTAATAAAAAGGTAAAGGTAAAGGCCCTCCCGTTGATCGTCAATTTGCTCGAGCGGGCCCAGTAATGTCTCCATTGGAGACTTTGTTGTTACTGTGTCTGGCATATCGAATACTCTCGGTAGCTTGCTGGACTCTCCGAGAGGGGCGGAGGAATCGAACTCGGGTCGGCCATGTTGGCCGCTTGTAAGGCGAACACCCTACCCGCTGTGCTAAAATAAATAAAAATAAAATGAGGTGTTTATGCTCTCTATTCTATTTCTGTTATCATCTTGGCTCTATGAGGCATGCTTCTAAAAGGCTGGTCTCCCCAACACTGCCCATCCCAACCTGTGCACCCACTCCCGTGTGCATTTTTATACTAGTGACTTATTTATCTCCACTCTACCCCTCCCTTCTGGGCTATAACTCAGTAAAAATGCCTGCATATAGAAGGTGCTCAATAAAAAAATTACTGGACACTTTTAACCATGTAATTTAATATCTGTGGCTTGATTAAAAGAAAGTATTTGGAAAACCACCACTACATTTTAAAAGCTTATAAATATCAATAATGTACTTACTATTTCTTTTCCCCTGGTTCATCTGATGCATGGCAATTATTGCAGATTCAATATTATAATTTTCAGCTTCCAAGTTCTGGACGATCAAATTAAAATCCTATCCAAGAGACAAAAAACAGTTCAAGGCTCTTGGGTATACTTTTCGACCTATCTCTACTTCAACGATTTGATAAACAAAATGATGTAATAGTTAAGACTTAATGAAAGGTTTCAAAACCTTTTCCATTTTAAAAGTGTTTAGACTTTCCATAAGGTTGGTTACCTGAAGTTTTTTTTTTTTTTTTTTTTTTTTGCTTTTTTGGGTCACACCCAGTGATGCACAGGGGTTACTCCTGGTTCATGCACTCAGGAATTACTCCTGGCCGTGCTTGGGGGACCATATGGGATGCTGGGAATCGAACCCAGGTTGAATGCGTACAAGGCAAACACCCTACCCGCTGTGCTATCACTCCAGCCCCTAGTTACCTGAAGTATTTAATATAAATTCTCTTATAAGTCCCTAGTACAAACACTTGTCAGAAACAAATAAATTCAGATACTTCCTTAGGACTTGGAGCAGTAACAAGGTATAGTCTAACAAACAAGAAGAGAATGAAGAGATATCTCTCATTGCTCTGACAGACCCTGATCAGATCAATTACAAATATAAATCAGTTTTGGCATGCTAAAGTAATTAACACAAAATAAGCAGATATACCAGGCACAACAATCCCTAGGGATAAATCATTATCGCATGATAAATACTAACTGAACATCCAGTTGCACTGTAAACTTTCTGAACAGCATCTCCTACTTCATCTCTCAGATCACCTTCAAAGTCAACGCTCTTTGTCTTCATCTTCTCTCTTTTATTTGATTCATCCTGATGAAGCATCTGAAACTAAAGGAAATACAGAGCGTGATAATCATGGCACTTCAGCAAATTTCAGCAATAATCAGATCCTCAAACACAAGAAGACACTCCACTCTCAAAAATACCTAAAGATCCCAAAAAAAGTCCTGAAGAAATACCAGTGAGTAGGCTGTTTCGTGCTATATTTCAGACTGAGATTTCTTAAAAAGAAAGGCCCAAGACATGGTATGAGCTCCTCAGTAAGACAGGATTAAAGGCAAGCGGGAGAGCACAAGGGTTAAAGGTGCTTGCTTTGCACACAGCTCACTCCAAGTTGGATTGCCTGCACTGCATATAATCCCCCAGCACTTCCAGGAGTGACCCCTGAGCTCAGAGCCAAGAGGGGTTCCAGAGCACTGCCGTGTGTGGCCAAGACAAACACAAAAAAAGATATTAAAGTTCCTACTGTTTCTATATGCCAGCACTCTGTCAGTGACTGCTATTTCAGACCACATGAATTTGTCTCAGTTGATGTCCAGAGCCAAACAGGCGTTCAAACTCAATTCATCAGGATCCTCCACGAGCTGTATTATGGATTCGCTACCAGGATCTCACCATTCTACAAGGATGTGATCATCGACGTAAAGAGAGGGGTTCGGTAGGGTGATATCATTTCACCAAAACTCTTCAGTGCCACCCTCGAGAACATCATGCGACAACTGGAATGGGAAGGAATGGGAGTGAAGACAGACGGTCGGCCACTACACCACATCCACTTTGCTGATGACATCATTCTAATAACACCAAACATTACCCAAGCGACACAAATGCTGGTCAGACTTCGACCATGAGTGTGGAAAGGTCAGACTGCAGCTGAATCTCACGAAGACAATGTTGGTGAGATAGGAACTCGTTCCTGACATTCCATTCACTCTCAACGGAATGAACATCTCTGAATGCAGCAGTTATGTGTATACCTAGGTCGAGAAATCAACATGACAAATGACCTGGCACCTGTGCTGAGCAAGAGGAAGAGAGCGGCATGAAACGCCTTCAAGAGCGTCGAAGAAATTGTTAAGAGGACGAAGAACCTCCAGCTCCAGGCACATCTCTTCAACTCTACCGTTCTTCCTGCATACACCTCAGAAGCTGGGCCCTACGAAATTCGGGTCTCCCAAAGAGGAATCAAAAGAGCTATGCTTGGAAGCTATGCTTCACTCAAGCAAGAGAAGGAATCCAGAGTTCCGGCCTCTGTCGACGATCGATAATCAGGGACACTGTCTCATTTGCCAAGGCATCAAAAATCAGATGGACTGGACACGTAATACGATTTGGAGACCACCACTGGACTAAACCAATTCCACAGGACATCAAAAGATTGTATGGCCGCCCACCTTCGAGATGGTCAGACAGTTTGAGGCGCTTCGTGTTCCTGGAGTGATCAGACGCCATTGGACTACACCAGCACGCGACAGGGACAAATGGAGATGTTACTGGTGCCCGCTTGAGCAAATCCATGAGTAACGGGATGGTGATCAAGTGATGTCCAGAGCCTTGTGATGTCCAGAGCCTTGTGCTAAGTAACAGGTATCCAAGGAGCTTTTGCTTCATTTTCATCCAACTCTCATCTGGTTCCCTGGGTCGAGCTTATTATCAGCAAGCTTTCGTGTGATTTCGAGTAAGCAAGATTCTATTAACCTCACGCATATCCCCCACACACCTCACGGACACCTGCCAACCCAAGTTCTGCAACCCAGAGAGTTCATCCAGTGTCTGTGATGCCTTTACGACCCAAAACCTCAATCAGGAAAGCTGAAAGTATCCCTCTGTGAGTGCTCATCACTTGCTTCTGCTCCCTCTGTTCCTTGTACTACCACAGTGAGGATAGAAAAGGGGAAGGACAGTTCTACTTCCCAAATGTAAAAGTAGGCATGGTATCCAGCAACATATATAGTATTCCTTAAAATTTTAACCATGATGAAATTATATCCTAACAATTTGGTAATGTTTACCAAGAGTCTTGCATTTATATAAAAGAGTATAAAAGTACTCTTCACAGCACAACTAACAGTGGTTTATAATTGGAAACCACTTAAAGATTTCACAGTGTGGCTTTGATTAAATAGCCACTATAATTCCATAGAATGCTGCTTCGTTTCCATTAAACTAGGAAAAACTATAAAGGCTATTACTTCCACCATTGTCACTGCAGAGTGTTTTGGAAATAAAAATCAAACACCTAGGGCCAAGAAAAAGGCTCAAAGGGATAGGTAAGCTCTGCATATGGGAAGCCCGCGTTCAATCCTCAATGATCCCTGAGCTGCACTAGAAATAACCACGCCAGCACTGCCAGGAGTAGCCCCAGAACACCTCAATATTGTAATGAAATCAGTGCAAAAAATATTTATGAGTAAGAAATGGTATGGATCAAATGAGGTAACCAATAGAAAAGTCCCACTTTGGGATCCATACTCTCAACAGCCTTGTATGAGTATAAATTCCAAAGAGATAATGTATCTAGACAGCACAGCTCTGTATTGGTGTTGCCATTAAGGTAAGCTTGGTAGCCTCATACTGCAATGCTGGGACCCAGGAGGAATGGGGGCCAACATGAGAACGGGCAGTGGTGGGGCCTCAGGGGTCACCCACCAAATGCAGATCAAACCAAGGGCTTTCTCTATGCAAGGCCACACTCTTCGCATACCCAAGGCCACTTGAGCCAAATCTTCATTTCCTTCCATTACTTTTCTTGCTTGTTTTCTTATTTTAGGTCACATTCAGGGGTACTCAGTGGCTACTCCTGGCACGGAAGAGCTGGGGGTGGGGGTGGGTCATTTCTACTGTAGAGTTCAGGAGACTATGCAGTGCCAGGGACTGAATCCTGGTCGTCTGCATACAAAGCACGTTCTCAGCCTACTGAGCTCTCTGGCCTCATCAATTTCCTTTAATAAAACCGTAAAAACATAAATAATGGGAAACCATCAAAATACAACCTCAAGGCCAGAACAGGTTGCCTTGTACATGGTAAACTTGGGTTCAATCCCCAGCACCCCATGTGTCACTCGAGCCTTCCAGGAGTGATCCCTGAGCACAGAGCCAGGAGTAAGCCTGAGCACCGCCAGGTATGGCTCCAAAACAAAACAGAACAAACAAAAATACAACCTCAGAGTGTTCCCCAGTCAGACCTTCCTAAATAACTCCAAACCCTCAGGGACAGTTAAGAACATCTGATAATTTTTTAATATTTGCCATCAACTAATTAAAGCCATTTCATACTAAATTATACCTATACATGGCCATGAAGAATTAAGGATCATCTCTTCCAACAAAATATGTAGTCTGAGAAGAAACACCGATTCAAATGTTTCCCCAGTTGATTCTCAGTGAAAACAAAACGAAAAAGAGGAAATTTCAAGTGGATTCTGTAGAACTCTTCAGGAAACCCTGAAAATTCAAGGGCCACCATTTAGGGTTTGGTATAAATAGCCATCAGTATTTTCCTAGTTTCTACATTCTGAAAACACTGAGAACATCTGATAAATTGAATTACATAAATATCTAAAACCCTTTGGCTGTAGAAGACCACAGGGAAAAGAATAAAAATTCAGATGACAGGCAGTGATAAAAAATATTTTTAATCTACATCACAAACAAAACCATGCCCATAAAGATCTCCTGGACTTCATTAGGAAAAATTAATGGTGAAAAAACAGGCAAAAGAAATTAATCCAGCTCTCTGGAAAGAAAGATGGCGACCGCACGGGAGCCTTGTGGACAGCAGGTATGAGCCGGGGGTCAGGGGCAACAAAAACCTCACGGGAAGGGGGGCGTTCCGGCCCGTCCTTCACGCCCTGCCGAGGTCACCAGTTGCCCCCCACGAGCGGCTCTCTGGCACGGCCACAACTCCAGAGCACAGAAACCAATCTCTTAATTATCTGACTTTTAGTAGAAATAATTCCAGGGTTAATAAGTAAAATAGCAGAAATCCAAAACCACGCGGCCGTGAATTCTTGAACCCAGCTGTAGAAAGCAAATCATTTCACAATGTTTTTTCAGCATGTCTGATTTGGGGGGGGGGGTAAAATCTAAATAATAATGGTGCATCTTTTATCGAAACAATGAATCTAGTCAAAGTAGATAGAGTGTTAACTAGAACTCATCTGCCTCACAGGAATTGGGAGGGGTGGGAGGTGGGGTTCTATTGGGGTTTGTGGTAAAAAGTATTGGTGAAGGGAAATGTGTTTGATATTTACATGACTGAGACCTAAACCTGAAAGCTCTGTAACTTTTCCCACAGTGATTCAATAAATAAATAAATTATTTAAAATTTTTAAAAAAAGAAATTAATCCAGCTCATACAAATGCAAATAAGTGTTCAACACAGAAAAATATGCAAGAACAGGAGAAAAAAACAAAATGAACCTGCTAAGAAAATGATTTGTTTCCCCTAACAAACCGACAAAGCTCTAAACGTTGTGTGTGTGTGTTTGGGACACATCCAATGGTGTTCAGGGCTTATTTAGTACTGGCTCTGAGCTGAGAAATCACTCCTGACAGCTTAGAGAACCACACGGGGTACCAGGGACCTAACCCAGGCTGGCAGCACACGCAAGGCAAGTGCTATGCCCACTGTACTACTGCTCCAGTTCCCCAAAGTTTTAAACTTTTGATTTCTAATCATGTGGGAGAATATACTTGCTCACCACACATCTAACAAAGGGCTCATATTTAAGATACATAAAGCACGCACGAAACAACAAACAACTGCGTCCAAAAGTGGGGAGGAGTTGAAAAGATACTTCCTCAAATCAAATGTGCAGGGGCCAGGGAGGTAGTCTAGAACACATTTCTGTCATTTGAAGGCCTCTGGTTTTAATGCCCTTCACTGCATGGGCCCCTCAACACCTCCAGGAAGCAGAAAGCACATGCTCTCAAGGGTAAAGCCCCCCCACCCTACCCACGCAAACCACCAGGTGTGGAGTCGTGAAAAGGTGTTCTTCAGCACACATTATCAGGGAAATGCAAATCAGATGATACGAGGTAGCAGCACACACTTGTGAGAATGGCACACATCAAAAGACTGGAAACAATGTAGGGACATGATAAAAAGGAAGACGATCCTCTGTAGGTGGGAATGTTCTCTGGGTCGGCCCCTATGGAACACAGTATAAAGACTTCTCAAAAAGTTGAGATTAGAGCTTCCGGAGGACCCAAAGATTCTACTTCTTGGTATCTACCCCTAAAAACACAAAAACATTCATCCAAAGAGAGTTTCATGCCAAAGTTCAGTGCAGTGCTATTCAAAATAGCCAAGATGTGGCAAGAACCCAAGTGTCCAATTTCTGTACACTGTATTAAGAAATTGTATATGAACACAATGGAATACTACTCAGCTCCAAGGAAAGATGAAATCTAACAGTTCACTGCAACTTGGATGTCTGGGCTCAGGAATCAATTTCAGTGACGCTTAAGTGACCACATGGGAGGTTGGGGATCAAATCTAGGTTGACTGCTTGCAAGACAAACACCCCATCCTCAGTGTTATCTCTCCAGTCCCCATAATACTTAGTTTAAAAAGCAGAAAACAAAAGCTCTAATAACAAAACAGTAACTAGAGAGTTGAAAGTAGGTAAAGGGATATACAAGATAACTTTTCAGTATCTGTATGTATTGCAAACCATAATGCCCAAAAGGGAAGAGGGGGGAGAGGAGAGAAGGGAGAGAGAGAAAGAAGAAAAGTAGAAGAGAAGTGCCTTCATAGAGGCAGGTGGGGCTGGGGTGGGGGCGGGAGGAACACTGGAGACACTGATGGTAGAAAATGTGCACTGGTGAAAGAACCAGTGCTGGAAAATTGTAAGACTGAAACCAAATCATGATCAAATAAAAATAAAGACAATGCTGAGAGGTAAATTGCATACATACTTTTCATTTTGTATATTTAGACATTGTGCTTTTATCTCTATAACATTATAAATAATAAAGCTTAATTTATTTTAAAACTACCCAAAAAGGAACTAAAATTATGTCCAGACAAGGACAGGTCCTATGTTAGGGCAAAAAAGATAATCTTAATAAATAGGTGAAGCCCTGGATACTTCACTGCAGCTCCAAAACAAACCAAATTATTTATGCAGCAAAAGAAACTACCAAAAGAACAAGGAAAATTTGCAACTGGAAGATTTTTGTACATTATATATCCAACATGGGGTTGGTATCCAAATAAGCAACTAACAAAACTCAGGGTTGGCAGATTGTTCAACGGGGGGGACTCAGATTCATGCAGAAGCTCTAGGTTCAGGCCCTAGCAGCTCACGGTGCCCTGGGCACTGCTGGGACTAACCCCTGAGCACTGAGCTGAGCAGGAGCAGTGACCAGGCACCACTGGGTAAGGCCTCCAAACCAAAAACAACCCAATGAAAACCTCAGACAACTCAATGAAAAAATGCAAACAACCCAAATTTTTAAAAAGTGGTCGAATGACCTCAACAGACACCTCTCCAGAGATGACCCAGCGATGACCCATAGACATGTGAAAAATGTTCAACATCACTTTTTATTAGGAGAATGCTAATCAAAACCACAATCCGAAAGGCTAGAAACAAGTTTAGTTAGGAGAAAAAGAAACTGCAGTTACACCGTTAGTGGGAATGTAAGTTGCTCAGTGGAAAACAGTATGGCAATTCCTTAAAAATTCTTAAATGCGGGCTGGAGTGATAGCCCAGTGGGTAGGGCATTTGCCTTGCACACGGTCAACCTAGGTTCGATTCCCAGCATCCCACATGGGCCCCCGAGCACCACCAGGAGAGATTCCAGAGTGCAGAGCCAGGAGTAACCCCTGAGCATCACTGGGTGTGACCCAAAAAGCAAAAAAAGTGTATACATATAAATATATATGTGTGCGTGTGTGTGTGTGTGTTAAATGTGAGTAACATGACTCAGAAAATCCAGTCTTTATCAAACACGAGTGAAAATCTTACACACACACACACCCAAAAAAAAATCCACAACCCTATGTTACACACAAAGTCAAAACACGGAATCAATTTAATGCCTAGCAACAGATGACGGGACCAAGAAGCTGTGGTACATGCTCAGGGAAACACCACGCTGGCATTTGTTTTTAAAAGGTGAAACTGTGCCTTTTGGGACCAAACAAATTGAACACGGGGGATCGTGCTGAAGGAAATAAGGATGTGAAAGATGATCATCAAATGGTCTCTCGCGTTTGAAATAAACATTAAGCCAACTGATTGGCAAAAAATACAAAGATACATGTAGTGGTTACCAGAGGGGAGAGGGAAGAGATGTCGGAGAGATGAGTATGGGGGTTGTTCGGATAGTAAGATGACACCGGAACTTTAGTGGGAGTGTGGTATGTCTTATATACAGAGACGTGAAGATAAGGTCATGAAACTCTATAGCAGTGTAAGCCACTGATAACCCAGCTTAGAAAATTAATTAAAGCTGACATTCCTCAGTGTGAGGGAGAAGGGACCTTTAACCAAATACTTTAAGCACTGCATAAATGATAACCATGTAATCATAGCTACCAGCTATAGGGAAAAGCACCACAGTGACTAGCAAGTTTACTTGCTGGTGATCCTCTCACTGAGGCTCCCAAACCACCACAGCAAACAACACTGCTTTCTCAGCGCCAGAGCACACAACTCGCAGAGGGAGAAGAAAGTGGGGGTACCACTCACGTCGGTCTGGAGATGCGCCGGGGCTTCTGAGTTGTCATTGATCCTCCGGACGCTGTCATAGTGCTCTCCGTACCGATAGGCAATGTGTAACTCCCGCCCATAGCTTTTCTCTGTACCGCGGATCTGCAGGCAGAAAGGGAGAGGTCAGCTCCTGGGAGAGCAGCATCGCCTGGTTTGTCCAGGGAGGCCAGTCAGGAGGGCTACGGAGACACGTTGTGGGAAGATGACCGGAACACGTCCTCAACAAGTTCTGAACTAGTTTTTCTCATGACCATGTACAAAAGTTTCTTGGTGCTTAACAGATGACTGTAAGGAAATTCATTCCAACGAAAACAGATACTTAAAATCCAAGGCAAGATTTACAAGGAAGTAGAAGCAGCGTGGTTTCAAGGGTCCTGGTAACACACAGCCCACCTACCCAAGAAGGGAAAGCCCAAAAGCAGGTGCAGAGACACTGGACCAAAAGCTCAAGCATGTGGGCTGTGCGCAGACCTTAGCCACTATCAACAGAACCGCAGTAGACACAAGGACAGGTCTTTTCAAATTAGTGTTTTTGTATTCTTGGGAGCAGAACTACTAACCGTGTGCCTATCAAAGGCTAAGCACATCAAGAAAGGGTAGTTTTTATACACTGTGGAATACAATTCAGTTCTAAGAAAAGAAGAAATCATGCATCTTGCTACAACACAGACAGAACTAAATCGTGTCAGGTTAAGTAGAGTAAGTCAGAAGGAGGAAGACAAATACCAGATGAGCTTACTCAGATGTGGCCTCCAAAGAAAAAAAGCAAGGGAATATATGCTGTCCAATGAAAGCAAACCTTAGAACTAATGTGGCAGTGTGTGTTGAGGGGTAGGGGGTGGGGTATAACAGGTAGCAGGGCCCAAGAACAGAAGCACTGGGAAAATGGAACTTTGGTGGTGGGTGAGGTGCGCTAAGCACCAGGATTCATACTATGAACCATGAACAATGAAAACACACATACACACACACACAATTTGGAAGCCCTCTCTGCCAGGGGGGGAAAAAGTGCGAAATTACAAATACAGGGTTGAGAGGGCCTTTCCTAAAAAAAAAAAAAAACCTTTACAGGAGTGGGGAAAACAGCTTGATACATCTGCTTCAGTAGCTTCAGAGTAAATCCCCTGTTGTTGAAACAAAGATCCCATTTTTCCATCAGCCACATGCTGAAAACCATTAGTGAAACAAATGAGAAACCTGCCTCCCCCCATGATCCTGAAACAGCCGTGGCCTCCCTTCCCCCTGCACAGCCCTGGTGGCTGCAACCCTGTGGCACAGCCCAACAGGGACTGGTGCTCTCCAGGGTCACCAACACAGATGCAAGACCCTCAAAATACACCCCCTCCTCAGAAGACACTCGCATCATTCTGAATCTATCCCTGAGAATAGCCCAGCTGCCATCTCGGTTAAACCGCCCACCCTATTAGCACCTCCCACAGGCTGTTTTGCAAAGCCAGAGTCAGGAAGATACGATTTGCAATGTAAACAGGGCTTGGGATCCAAAGACACAGCAGAAGCCATGAAATGAGCGAGTCCCATATGGAACCGGAAGTCGGAAGTATGTAGGATTTCTTCGAGAAGAGTATCTTGATCTCAGAGTACAGTCTGGTTTTGATACAGACATAATGGAGAGTACACCATCTAACTCCCAGCCAGAATACTAGGGAGGGGTCGGAGCAAAAGTACAGCAGGAAGGGTGCTTGTCTGGCACACACACAGCCAACCTGGGTCCAATCCCCAGCACTCTATATGGGTCCTCCCAAGCCTGGCAGAGTGATCCCTCAGCACAGAGCCAGGAGTATGCCCTGAACACCATCAGGTGTGGGCCAAAAATCAAACAAAAAAGAATTATGAGTTAAAACTCACAGAACCATTCACTTAGGTGTGAATTTTGTGTCTGTATATCTCTAAAAATCTGACTATCTGGAGCAGGGGGAGAGGGGCGGTGGGTGGACTCAGGGCTTGCTCCTGGCTCTGTGCTCAGGGATCATGACTAGTGGGTTAGGGGACTACATGTGGTGCCAAGGAACAAACCCATGTGGGCTATATGCAAGGAAGTGCCCTACAAACTATACTATCACTCTGGCCCAAAGAGGTTGACTTTCTAAATGAGTAAATGTTAGGAATAAGTAATCCAGGAAGAAAACTATTAGATAATATATGAAAAATGATTTTTAATTACAAAAAGCCTTTATATACAGGAATATTATACATTTACACATTGATATGTCTACAAGTGTACAAATGTATTTCAAATGTGCATAAAGGTATCATGCTATATCTCTTCCTAGTTATATGTGAAAGTTTTCTACTTAAAAGTACATATAAATTACAGGGATACACACTAAAATATTAACAGTAATCAACTCCAGGCAGAGTGAATGGGTAAATCTGGGGGCCGTGGGCTCCCCACCGATACTGGGGGTCGCCAGGGCTACTCACAGTGGCACACGGGAGGCCAAGCACTGGGGACTGAACCAGGGAGCCTGGCATAAGGAGGACACACTCCAGCCCACTGAGCTACAGCCCTAGTCTCAACAGGGGATTTTTATTTGCCTTTGTGGACTTTGGCAAATTTTCCATTTCCTGCAGTTAACATGTTTTACTTCTCTAGTTAAGAAACAAGAAAAATGTACTTCAGATTCCATTTTACTTCAGATTCCATTTTATAAAGCGCAATCATTTAACCCCAAGCCACAAGAAGCTTCCCATTTTTAGTTAAGCATGAAATCTAAATTACCCTGTGACATACAAATCATGTTTTAGTTTATCAGGTTCAATATCATAGGTCAATTATATAGTTTATGTCCCAACATCTTAGGACAACCCCAAAGCTAATTTATAAATTACTTAAAATATAAAGTCTTCAATTGGTGACCTACCTGCCATAAAGGGGCATTTAGTTGATGAATCACCACATTCAACTGATGATTTCTTGCAAAGGCTACAATTGCATCATTGCCAGCAAATGTACCCGGCTTTGCCAAACTGGCCACTGTATGAAAACAGAAAAAAGTGAAGCCTTTATAAAGAGACAATCCAAATGCAAACATGTTCTGGTATTTATTTTGTTCCAAATAATGAAAAACAAGTGAGTATATCTGAAAAGTCCATTAGCTTTGTCAGAATCTAGGAATTTGACTAGTTAAGCAGCACGAAGAGACTGCTACTCAGAAATTCAGAAAAGGACTAACCACGCACACAGAATACATTTACTTAATATTTACCGAATGCTTCCCATATGTCTAACTCTACCAAAGACACTGGAAAAGTAACTACAACCACCAGAAGTGTAATGATGTGCATTAATGAGTGTTCATTATCTGCCCAACACTGATCCACTTAATTATCATTATTAAGATTGGGGCTGGATGATTCCCAGCACCCAATAAAGTTCCCCAGGTCCCACCAAGAGTGATCCCTGAGCACAGATCCAGGAGTAAGCCTTAAACATCACTAGGTGTTGCAGACCACAACACCCAAAAGGAGAGAGAGAACACAGGGGATTGCCCTGCCACAGAGGCAGGGGGGATGGGGGGATGGGGGTGGGGGGGATATTATCCATGGTGGTGGAAAATGGGCACTGGTGGAGGGATGGGTATCTGATCATTGTATAATCGAAACCCAAGCACAAAAAATTGTAAATCTACAACTGTACCTCATGGTGTTTCACTAATAAAAAAAAAAAATCACTAGGTGTGGCCAAAATAATAATAAAAAAGATTGTCGTTATTAAGCCTATACAGTAACAATGCTCAAACGGCACTATCAAGCATACCATCTCACAGCTGAGTAAACAGAGGCAAAGTTTAGCTTATAATCTATACCAAGGCCACAGAGCCAATAGGCAGTGGAGCTGAGATTTAGCCCACCAGCCCAACCCGAGACTGTGGCCCCTGAACAGTGCTTCACGCAGCCAGTCACGGCAGGCAGACTGCCCTCAGTAGGAGGCAGCCAGGAAATTAGAATACATATGTGTAAGTACTGCAGGAAAGGGACCTGTAATCAAGAATTTGCCCTGGCCCCACAAGGCTTGGCCTATGTCTCCTGCAGGCGTATGGCATCTAAGTGATCATCATGCCAGGCTCATAAGCCACAAAGATAGTTTACGCTCAGGAGGTGACCAAAGGTGGCCCTCTCTAACCATAGATGTAAGTAAGAGTCACCTGGGAGGACAGAGGAGCTCAAGAGAGTTCATACACTGAAGCAAACAAACAGCATCAACATAATAAAGCCCTAATAAAAATTCTGGACACTGACATCTGTGTAAACTACCCGACTCACAATGAAGATTCTCTGTGTGTTGCATAACTTCCTCTACTTCTGATCTACAGCCTCTCCTAGCAATAAACTACAACTAGTGAGTCATGTCAGCCCTTCCAGTCACCGTCACACCGGAGAGGGACCTTGGAAAAGCTCTACCTTGTAGTCCTGTGGAACACTACACCCAAGCCTTGCCCCTTGGTCAGAAAATTATAGCCAGTCGGGTTGCAGGGAGAGAAAAGGAAGGTGTAAGGACTAAGCCGGTTCCCTGGGGGCAAGCTGAAACTAGGCACAAGAGGAATGAATGATGTTTCAAGCTGGAAACAGGGAGCAAGAACAGGAGGAAGGAAGGGGAGGGAGGGACAGAAGGATGCCCTTATAGGCAATACAGTGTGAGAGGAACTGGGAACAACAGTAGTGGGGTGGGAAACAAGAAAATGGAACAGGAAAAGGCAAGAGACGAAGGCAGAGAAAGAAGAAAATCACAAGATGTTTGAAATTTATCCTGAGGTCTATGGGGAGGCTACTGCTAGGGTTCAGGTAAGGATAAAGAAACATTCACTTAAATCAGCGCTCTGCCTGCAAGGTGGGAAACTGAAGGAGCTGGAAGGTTCGCACACTTCAGCAACGGGTACTGAGGTGACCTAAGCAGACAGATTTGTTGGTCTGATCCGCACAATGAGAGAAAACACTGAGGAAGAAATAAGTAACCAGACTTAATAAAGGGCTGGGTCTGAGCGGGGAGGGAAAAGAGGCATTTAGGATACTCGGGTCTGGCATTCCACTTCAGGGCTGCCACACCCCAAGTCTGTGCATGATGTCGATTTCACAGTAAGCCACACCACTCCATTCTAGCAACATCGAGATATAGAGAGATCCCCAATTTCTCTCCTCCCTCAATAAAATTCTTTTATTTTAAAATTGTAAGAATATTCGTAATTCTGATCTGAAAATTTGTACAACTGGGTAAAAGTCACAATTTAAAAGAGAAAAATTATCTTTCAAGGATACATCCAGTTATGAGGGTAACCAGGTCCTGAAGAATAAACTGAGCCACTCATTTGGTTATTCAACAAATACCTCACCACCAGTGTCTACCAATGCTGTACTATGGAACAAGCACAAACCCAGTCGTCAAGAATCTCACAGTGTAGGGGTCAGAGGGTAGAGCATTTGTCTTGCATGCAACTGACCCAAATTCGATTCTAAGCATCCCATGTGGTCCCCTAAGCACCTACAGAAGTGATTCCTGAGTGCAGTGTCAGAAGTAATCCTTGAGAATTGATGGATGTGCCCCATAACACAAAATAAATAAGAGTCTCACAGTGTAAGACTGGCATTGGAGACACATGACTATGAGTGGGGTATATGTTAAGCCTATCTTCAGCTGAAGACAAAGTATGCATGGACTTCACAGTGGGTAGGGCGCTTGCATTCCACGCTAATGCAGTGAGTTCAATCCCTGGCATCCCATATGGTCCCCCAACCTCCACCAGCAATAATTGCTGAGTGTAGAGCTAGGAGTAACCCCGGAGCACTGCCAGGTGCAGATTATAAACAACAAAACACAACAAAATAAATACTAATGTAAAAACAAAACAAAACCCAGAACATGCAGGCTTCTTCTAGATGATAGACAGGGGGCCACCACTTCTCACTCTGTTGAGGCACAAATTCTTAGACAGCTCTGCCCTAGGTCAAATCACAATCCAAGAAAGTATCTTCCCATTGTACATCTAAAATGTCTATCACAGTCTAGAGAAATAATACAGTGGGGCAGCACAGCTATATGGACCTGGGTTCAATATCCACACATGGTCCCCTGAGCCCTACCAGGAATAATCCCTTAACACAGCCGAGAGTAAGACCTGCACATCACGCAATGTGCCCCCACCTCACCCCGCACCCGTCTCCAAAAAGAAACTAAAATGATCATCATGCTGGCAGGTGACTTTGAGTCTCTTCTCTGGCCATATCCCAGTAGCTACCGGACAACCTTTCACTGAAGATGGTCAAAGCAGAATTTCAAACCACAAACTAAGCATGCACTTGATCCAAAGGCAGATGGCACATACCCTATCCAAATTTATCATCTGCTAATCATCTGGTAAATTGTATCCAACAGTTAGGCAAGAAGTGATACAAGGAAACAGACCATCCAATTCCCAAAGGATACAAGCTATTCTTTGACCACTTTGTTTCTTTCAGTGTTCACTCACAAATTGAGTTTTCCTAGGAATAAGAAGCTGTGGGATCACTGCCATCCTTCTTAGGCAGCCTCCTCCTACTGCCAGTTGTGCTGTTGACAGGAGAGCGACCAAGTCACTCCCCAAGCAGAAGGGCCACAGTATTCATTCCCTCTTCCTCCTCCTTCCGCCCCAATGAGTCCTGTCAATTATGTTATGATCCAGCATCAGTTATGCCCTGTGGATCTCCCTCATTTTCCCCAACAGATGCCTTGGGAGAAACCCTTTTCCACTGAGAAGAACCTTCTAACTTCTCTCCCTTCTCAGTCTTTTTCTCTTTCTTTGCTCATCCACTCTCAACAAGATTTCCAGAACTAGCACCCTAAAACACAGGAACAATCTTTCCTGGTAAGAAAAGACTGTGGGTCCTGTGATGAAGTGTTATTTGTAACACATAAATACATAGTTATGAAAATTTAAGGTAAAGGTAAAGGCCCTCCCGTTGATCATCGATTTGCTCGAGCGGGCCCAGTAACGTCTCCATTGGAGACTTTGTTGTTACTGTGTCTGGCATATCGAATACTCTCGGTAGCTTGCCGGGCTCTCCGAAAATATATAAATATATAATGCCTAGGACAGCAGATCCCAGTGAAGATTTGTCAAAATTAAGCTTAAGCGCTCAATACAGTCCTTTCTAGACTGTACCAATTAAGAAACAAGTCAAATATCACAGAGCCTAAAATAAAAAAGACTAAAAACACAAAACAGGTTGAATTGGGGTCTTTGTGAAGAAATTTACATGACTATTAGTGAGTAAAGTTTAGGCAAGAGCTCTCTGTATTACTTCTTACAACTGCATATGAAAAATACAATGATCTAAAAAAGAAAAGTTGGGCTGGGAGATAACTCAACTGGATAGTGTGCAAGCATGGCATGTTAGAGGCTGGATCCCCAGCATGTGGTCCCCTGAGCACCACTGGGATCCATCCTCAGGCAATAGACTAGGAGGAGTCCCCAAGCACCACAGGTATGGATCAAAAACAACAACAACAAAAAAATTAAATGTGGTGGGGGAAGCTTATATATATGTGCATTTATAAATTAAATTACTGTCACTGTCACTGTCCTCCCGTTGTTCATCGATTTGCTCGAGCGGGCCCAGTAACGTCCCCATTGTGAGACTTCTTGTTACTGTGTTTGGCATATTGAATATGTCACGGGTAGCTTGCCAGGCTTTGCCATGCAGGCGAGATACTCTCGGTAGCTTGCCGGGCTCTCTGAGAGGGGCGGAGGAATCGAACCCAGCTCGGCCAGGCCGACCACGTGCAAGGCAAATGCCCTACCACTGTGGTATCGCTCCTGCCCCTAAATTAAGAAAAACAAAATGACTTTTGATTATAAAATAGCACATGACCATTTGAAAAATGGGAAGCTCAGAAAATAACTCAGGGATAAGGGTACATGCCATGCAGTCACAAGGACCCTAGTTTGGTCCCCAGCACCCTCGGGTCAGTGGGTCAAGTCTCACCAGAAATAGTCTCCAGACTCCCTAAGCACTGTTTGGGAGGCAAAATAAATCAATCTACAGAAGATCATTTAAAATACTCGTAAGGCCTGTGGGACAGTACAAGGGTTAAGGCGCTTGCCTTGCACACAGCTGACCCCAGGTTGATCCTCGGTACAGCAATGGTCCCACGAGAACTGCCACGGGCCCCTCCTGAGCACAAAGCAAGGAGAAGTCTGAGCACTCTGGGTGTGGCCCAATCCCTCCCCCCAAATAAAAAGGTAAAATTTAACATCTTATCTGGGCAACCTCTTAATAAATAACCGATATTCATAGTCCCAAATCCTCAAATGGCTAACACCTATAAAGAATTTACTTTAGGGCCAGGACAATAGCTCAAGGAGTTAGTGTATGCTTGAATGCAGGAGGTCTGGCTTCCACACCTGGCACCATCTGTGTCCCAAGTAGCACCACCCAGAGTGACCCCCAAATACTGAGCCAGGAGTAGCCCCTGAGCACTGTTGGGTGTAGCCCAATCCCCCAACCCAAAGTATATTTAAATTGTATTAACTAATTTAACACATATTTAAAATTTTATAAATTGGGTGCTTGTATCATCCCCTCTCATATTCAAAGAATGGTTTGTGAAAATTAAGCAGAGCAAAGAATTAACCACTAAATGTTTCTTTTTAGATTTTTACTGTTTTTGTGTTCTGATCCTTTTAAAAATAAGATTAATCTAGGACCAGCGAGATTGTATAGTGGGTTTCTGCCTTGAGCATGGCTGACTCAGGCTCAATCCCTGGCACCATACATGGGCCCCCAAGACCCACCAACTAGTAGTTCCTGAGTGCCGAATCAGACAAGATTGGGAGCATTCAAGGTGGTGTGGCCATGACCAGAATCAGGGGTAAGCCCTGAGCACAGATGGGCAGATGGGTGTGGGCCAACTCTGCCCATCAAAACCAACACCACCACACACACAAACCCCCCCCCCCAAAAAAAATCAATCTATGGCAAACTATTTTATAGCCTGCTTTTCTCTCCACTGGCTAAAAAAGCCATGATCAGTTTTTTAGGTTAAATAAAAACATTTTAATTAAGGGCATATCCATATAAAGTGTTGATTCCCAACTGCCAGCTATGCTAACTATTACAAAGCAGGCAAATAAATATTTGCTGAATAAATGAATGCTGTTAAATTACTTAACCAAATCTTGGGCTAGAAAACTGGGGCTGCTTGATTTCAGCACACAATGCATTACTCCTAGAGGATCCAGTGTCCCACGATTAACCTACCATGCTTTTCAAAAGGAATGTCATCTTCTACAAAGGGTTCAAAATCTTCCCGCTGCTTTATCATGTAGTCCACTGTCTCTTGTCGGTGCTTGAGATGATTTCGTGAGTGTCCCTCCAACTGATCACCAAGAGCTCTGAACAGGCAATTGCTATCAAAACACAAACGTTGGTCAAGACCTTTTGAAAATGAACTTGGGGCTCGGGATGTGGCTCAGCAGCTGTGTGTATGCCTTGCATGTGTGAGACCCTGAGTGTGATCCCAGCACCACACACAAAATAAACTACTTGGTTCATCTGAAAAACAATGACGCTTCACGGTGAAGTCATAGTGGCGAGCGATTGTGGAAAAGCGAGCATGTCCTAGTGAGATAAAGTCTCAACCCTAACTGTCCAGGTACTGGACAGAAAGGCATATGTTCAACCACAGTACCTTCCTGAGGGGCATCAAACAAGGACACTCAGAGCTGGCTGTTTCAGGAAGGGCCGTCAACTTGCCTGGGCCTCAGCCAACTCAACAAGGGAAGCTGGTGAGCACCACCTGAAAACTGGGTCCAGTGACTAGAGGCTATTCCACACATACAGGCTAGGATTCCCAGATCCCCTTCCAAATGATTAATCATAGCTACAGCCTCTTCTCTGAAACAAATCTCACAACAGCTGCCCAGCTAACTGATTACTCACCCAACAAAGGCTACCCAGAAGATAACAATTTGTCAAGTTCCCAATATAAATAATTCAACTCAATGTCCAACTTCGTCATTTGGACAAAGTGGAGAAAGCCACGTGAATGAAGTGCCTAGAGAACGAACCAAGCTGCACTATGCAGTGACACTTTCTTCCTCAGCTCCTCACCTCTCACCCAGGAGTCACCACACCACTGGTCATTGCAAACGCCAAACACTTTTTTGTTTTGTACCTAAAACTCTTAATGCAGTTAATAAACTTCAAGTTCCGTATCCAAATCCCTCAAAGTCTTTCCAAACTGTAACACATGCACAGAACCCAGAAACTAAAATAAGTCAAAAACAACATAGGATCCTCGAAACTAAGGAAAAGATATCTATCGGAAGCCAAATGGTGGCCAACTCCACACTGAAACTTTATTTTTTCCAAATGAAATCGATGATACACCGCTCCCCTAACTGTTGAAATGCAGGCCTGGAGGAGAAAGAGGTTTCTGTTTTTCAACTTAAAAGAGTGAGATTTTCCATAGAAAGTTACAGAGTCCTGGCTTTGGCAGCATATATACTAAAATTGGAACAATACAGAGATCAGTATGGCCCCCCACGCAAGGATGACACACAAATTCACGAAGCGTTCTATATTTTTAGGAAAAGGTATCTGCCTCACCATTGCTGAAGAGAGACACAAAAGATTGGTAACCAAGAAGAACAGTGGATGGAAAGGCTGCTTGTTTGTTTGTTTGTTTGTTTGTTTATTTGGGGTCCTACAACCCCTGTGATCCTCAAGGGTTATTCCTGGCTCTGCACTCAGGAATTATTCCTGGTGGTGCACAGGGGAGTGTATGGGACACTTGGGGATCCAAGCCAGGTCAGCTACGTGCATGGCAAGCGCCCTATCACTCTCTCCAACCCCATGCTTTTTCAGGAGCAAAGTTGGATGATGAAGGTCCCTATGCTTAAATAAAGCCCATAAAATAAGGGAGGGACGGCATTAGAGGTTAGGCATCTCGTCTCACGGGGATTTAAACTGGTTTTGGGGAGAGAGGGCAGAATCACCTCCAAACTGTGCTTCTGGAGCTCAAGGGCCATCCCACCCAAACTCAGTCAAGCTGTGCAGGCTGGGGGGTGCAAGGCTGCAGCCTGGAGAAGCATGCTGCTTGGACTCTGCCATGGTGAGGGCCACTAGAGCCACACTCAGTGGGGCAAAAGGGCAGTGCTCATGGGGCCATGCAGTGTCAGGGATCAAACTCGGGTCTCCACATGCAAGTCACTGGTTTAAGTCTTACATTATCTCCCTGGCCTCTGAACTTTATTTTTTGGAGGGAAGGGTGAGAACTTGAAAGATAGGAAAACAATAAACTCCATCAGTCTGGCGCAAGATTCTAGAAGGAATTTAAATAGCTTTATACATTCATCTGAGGTACCTATTGCTAAAATTAAACACGGGCAGTCTGTTTTCAAGGGGAAAGGAAATTATGAACACAACATTCTCAATGTTAAGGTTCCCTCCAACTTTCCTTAGGCCTTTAGCATCTGTCACCACATTCTCAAATCTGCCCAAGGAGGAGGCATGATTTATGTGTTTGGTCCTTTCACATTTAGCTGTATTCTACATTAGGCGCATTTTACATTAAATTTTTATATGCAGAAACTCAAGGTCTTTGTTCTACAGGAGGTAACATGCTTTCTGAAAATTTGTTATAACATGTTTTCTTTGAAATGTTATATAAATGTATAACATTTCTGTATATAGATGTTATATACAGAAAATGTTCTTTCTTTCTGTAGGTCAAAAAGGAGATATAAAACTGCATTTTTATACTACGTATAAAGTTCAACTACGTTCATCTGCAGAAACACACAGCAAAAGTATGCAAAGAAAAAAAACACCAGAGCAACTATTTAAACAGCTTTTCCAGTGTGCTCGGGACAATTCTCAAACATACTGTGTATTAAATGTGTCTAGTGCTCACAATTCTTTCAAGTAGCGTGACTCAGGACTCAAACCCAGCATCTGAATGGTGGACACAGTTACCTCTACGAAGTGAAATTGGGTGTAATTGTTAAACTTATTTTAATATAACTTGCCATACCTCCAATTTTTCCTTAAACTCACTAAAAGAAGTCAAAATGAAAAAAAAAAGTAACATGCAAGATACACAAATTATTTTCCTTTTTGACAGAGCTACAAGTTAGTGACACAGGGAATGTGAACAAACACTGCAGCCAACCTAGGTCCCCTTGGGGAGCCAGTGAGAGCACTTGGCAGGATACCTGTGAGAACAAGGCAACCAGTGCCCCAAGGACCGTGAGGAGATACAGGCTGTTTCCCGAGTCCATACGCTCTGCCATGACACTGCAGCACACTGTGACACCTGGGGACAATTCTTTGTTGTGGGGGTCATCCTGTCCACATCAAGGCATCTGTGGCTTTGACCACTGGATGCTGCCATCACCACAACCACCTGCCTAGCAGCTGTGACAAGCAAAAAACGTCGCCAACTACTGCTGAATGTCCCCTGGGAGAGGACAAACCCATCCCCACTTGGGAACCACTGCACTACAGAGATACATACATACATATATATACATATATATATATATATATATCAGTTCTGATCTTTCGTGAGTTCACAAAAACAACTAGTTACTACATAAGTAGATGAAAGGGACTTGGTTTTTGATAGTTTAGTATGAGATGATATTTTGAGTTATACAGGGGAAAAAAAAAAAGGTAATGGGCTCCTGAGATGCTATAATGACAGTAAATGTGCATAAAGGGCGGGGGGGGCGGGCAGCGGTGGGGAGCAGCTCCTATTCTCTGAGGTCAGGCCATAGTTAGAGCACAGGACATTCTGGTAATGACAAACATATTCACGTGAGACTGGCTTTAGTCTGGGATAGGGCTCGGCCAGAGAGCACTCACTTTGCATGTGTGAGGTCCTGATTTCAATACCCACCACTGCAAAAAAACAAAAACCATCAAATATAAGAGATGGCATGATTTGAGCCAGGAAGTTAGTGCCACTGCACAGGCTCTGCAAGCTGAAGGCCTGGGTTCCATCTCCAGCACACAGTCCCCAGAGCACTACCCAGGGTGAACCCTGCACCAGAACCAGGTGGGATCCAAAAACAAAAAAAGAAAAAGGAGTCATGTGGCTTTAAACTTGGTGGTGTAAAAAATACAAATAGTTAATGGTGATGTGCTTCCATGAGGCTGAAAGGAAGCTACCTCCAACTAGATAGATGGTCATGGAGAAAGGGTGCTTTATTTGCACAACACAACTGAACCAAAACACAGGAACTAGATACAGATTTTGGCAAACAAAAGGAAATAGTCTAGAGAGAGAGAGAAAGACTCCACAGGCTCAAGATTTTATCAATTTTCTTTATCGGCAGATCTCGGGAACTGCCTAAATCTGTGCAGTATGGTATCATGTTCACTAGCTACATATGACTACTAAGAACTCTGAAACGTGCTTACTCCATAGTGAAGTGTTGTCAGTGTACAACACTGGATTTTTAAAATACCATTTTTTTTAATCATGTCAGGAGCTGAGCCCATGGCTTCACATACAAAAGGCATATGCTCTATCACTTGAACAGACTTAAACATTAAAACATCTCACTAAAATTTACACAGATGTAGTACCCTTGGAGGGGAGCGGGTTGAGCTTTCCTCCCCGCCCTGGCCAGGACCCTGGCAGCCGAAGACCTCCAGGACCAGCCACCACCATGCTGAGACCACTCTCCACACACCCGAAGGTACCGGCAGAGGGACAAAGCCACGTGGGTTCCGGGGCCGAGATCTCCAAGCCTACTCGGATTGGAGTCAAGCATCCTCCACCCAGATCCTCCAAATTCCAGTAGGCGGGGGTCACACCCACCAACTGGCCCCCTGGCGCCGTGTAATCCCATCAGCGGCCAAGACTCTGAGACTATAAAAACCAGCTCCCGGAACCGCATTCGCGGCTGTGCGACATCTTATTATGACATCTCATTCCTACTTTGACAAACTGGCAGGCTACCGAATGTCGCCTGCCCACACGGCAGAGTCTGGCAAACTCCCCGTGGCGTACCCAATATGCCAAATACCAGTAACAATGATGGGTCTCCTTCTCCTAAAGAGCCTTGAATATAACCTCAGGGCCAGGATGAAGGAGACGTTACTGGGGCCTGCTCGAGGCAATCGACCAATAACAGGATGATCTGTGATCTCTAGTACTAAAAATAGTACAAGCTATTATATTAAATCAGTTTTGCTGAACTCTTTTCATATTTTAATGTGGCTCCCAGAAAATTTTCTTATATGCTCCAATTTTTTTTTGGGGGGGGGAAGAGTGTTTGTTCTAAGGACACACCCAGCAATGCCAGGGGTTACTCCTGACTCTGCTCTCAGGAGTTACTCCTGGCAGTGCTTGAAGAACTATATGGGATGCCGGGGATTAAATCCAAGTCTGCCACACAAGACAAGTGTCCAACCCACTATACTATCTCCCAACCCGTACAATTTTTTCCTATTTTTCCTATTTTGGGTGGAGAAGGGGATGGGCACACCTGGTGGTGCTCAGGGGTCAACCACTCCTGGCAGTGCTTGGGAGACCAGATATGACGTGGAGATCTGAACCAGGATCTCAGCAACCACAAGCAGCTCACCCCCATTCTTTTTAGCCCCTCCAATTCTACTGCTATTGGACAGCAGTGCCCTAGAAGTGTTTCTTAACTGAGGGTCACATGGGTACTCCAGGATACTCCAAGGGAACCACAAGTGAACATCGAGCAAATGGAGGGTCATGGCAGAAGACTAGGGAGTCAATCAGAAGGACAGGGTGTTGGGGGATGGGGCACAGGAAGGAAGCCAGGTCACAGAGGGGCCACAGTCAGGGAAAAACTGACTGCAGGCTCTTAACCAGCAGTACTCAAATATGGGCATTTTAAAGCTATCAAACATAAAGCCACACTGCCTGGGATTCTGTCTGGGATAGCTGATCAAGGGAAGAGTTCAGGCTCCTTCTGGGCCAAAGTTCCCCACATGAGTCTGTTGCAACAGCAGAGTTGAAAACCACTGAACTAGATACAAAAGATAGAGTTGCAGTTAATGTGATACATGTAGTAATGGATAATTACATTAAATGATACATGAACAGCCTTCTTTAAAAGCCTATGATTACAAAAAAAAAAAAAACCCTTAAAAAAAAAAAAGAAAATAACATGCTGGGGATGCTGGGGGAGAGATAACTAGCAAAACCCGTGATTCTTTGAGGTCAATTTGAGAATGTTACTGATCAGTAATGTAATTTAGGGCTGCATTACTTAATAAGATACAACTAGATATTGTTCAAAGAAATGCTAATGCAGTACTGTTTAAGAGATTCTTGGCACAATACAACCAACCATGTTTTAAAGGACAATACCAAGGTTAAACTCTTTTTTGTTCTGAAAGTCAATCCAATGTATTGTAGCCCCGCCCCCCCCCCCCCCCCCACTATGTGACAAATACGATGAAAGTTCATCCCTGACTCATCTCTGCTAAACTGAACTCATGGAAAGGCTACATTTGAAGACACCAGTAAGACCATCCCCAAGCACCCAGGAGGTGCCAGAATGGCAGAGATGGTGCACCACTGCCAATGCTGAATATGCCTAGAGAGCAAGATGCTACCTCAAGTTACTTAGTCTCATAATCAACCAGAGTGGAAGAGAGACATATGGCAAATAGCAGCTATTTATGATATTAACATAAAAGGAAATACCAGAGTGCTCATTAATATAAGCAAATAAAAGAACCTGTTGATAGGTACCTGCCAAGCCACCACCTACCTGGGAAACGCCACCTGCCACAGTGATCAAGGCCGTGATCACAAAATCCGAAAGGATCACAATACTCAAGAGGGCTGAACCACACAGCTGACCTCATGCTGTTCATGGGAAGAATCCGTGACCAGGTTCGCCTGACAGAGCCCGCGCAAGAGGAATTACCTGTTAGCTAACACTGTCCAACACGGGGACCTCGGCAGGGAGAAGCACGCGCATCCCAGCAAGGCAGCCCCTGACTTCTATCCTGGACCCTCCGAAATTATCTCGCTGATGTCTCATAAAAGAACGTGCTCCTCGGCCTTCAGCTGCTCTACTACTAAGCCTGGAATATTCTCGTGCTATACTCCTATAGGTCCTGCATGAGCCAATCTGAAAGGGAAGCACCTATACAGTGGGTTGGGGTGGTGCTATTTTCTGCAAATCGTTGGATTGCTTTTATAGCACAGGGGCTGAAAGAGTCACCCTGGCACTCAGCACTGGCCATCTCTCTCTGTTACCATTACAGTCACTGTCACTATGACTGTATCAAACTGCACTGCTATTGGATATATTATCAATTCTCAAAGTGTGACTCAGTGTGAGTGTATGTGTGGGGGGGGGGGGGGAGGAGGGAGAGAAGAGAAAGGGCTCTGGATATTTGTGGACTAAAACCAAGATGTTGACTTTTTACTCTCACAAGTATAGCGTGAAGTTTTCCAGAAGTTGTCTGATTTTTGTTTTGGGGGTTTCTTGGACCATACTGGGCAGTTCTCTGGGCTTACTCCTAGCTCTGCACTCAGGGATCATGCCCAACAGTACTGGGACCACACAGGATGCGGGGATCAAACCAGCATCCTACCCACTGTACTGTCTCTCTGGCCCCAACCAGAAGTTATCTGATAGCTAATAGAATGTGTTTATGTATTCTTGGAAGGAGTGGGGGGGGGGGGTCTGCTTTGCCTTCTTGGAAGGGGGAGGTCTGCTTTGCCTTCTAATATAGCAAATACAATAGTGATAATCCACATAAATAAAAGCTCTTTGTAGTCCTCAGTACTTTTAAGAATGTAGAGTAGCATTTCCCAAAGTGGGACAGACCATCTTGGTGGTATTGAGAAGAGCCTCTGGTTGCAACTAGGGGACACTTTTGGTTTGTTCACTTAAAGGTAGATTTCCAGAGAAGGGAGCAGATTTTTTTTTTTCTGAAAAGAGGGTGAGGATGGTAGAACAAATAAGTTTGGGAACCTCTGATGTAGACGAAGAGACCAGCGTTTCAGAGATGCACACTTTTTCTCCTACTGAGTTGGGAATTCTTAATATCTAAGTCATGGAGCGATAGCACAGCGGGTAGGGCGTTCGCCTTACACCCGGCCAACATGGCCGACCCGAGTTCGATTCCTCCGCCCCTCTCGGAGAGCCCGGCAAGCTACCGAGAGTATTCGATATGCCAGACACAGTAACAACAAAGTCTCCAATGGAGACGTTACTGGGCCCGCTCGAGCAAATCGACGATCAACGGGAGGGCCTTTACCTTTACTGATGTTATTCCAGCACTTGACCAATGAAGGAGGTCAGGGTAGCAGCAGAACCCCAATGCCCTCTGTGTGGTGATTCCTGCTTACGATAAACCTTTGGTTAAGTACTTCGCTTTCCTTGGCACTCTGACCTCAAGGATTCCATGCCCAAAACAGCAGAGAGAAGCAATCCAACTATTTGCAGAAAATAGCACCACCCCAACCCACTGTATTCAACTAGTAAAAAGGTAAAAGGTAAAGGCCCTCCTGTTGATCGTCGATTTGCTCGAGCGGGCCCAGTAACGTCTCCATTGGAGACTTTGTTGTTACTGTGTCTGGCATATCGAATACTCTCGGTAGCTTGCCGGGCTCTCCGAGAGGGGCGGAGGAATCGAACTCGGGTCGGCCATGTTGGCCGCTTGTAAGGCGAACGCCCTACCCGCTGTGTTTTTATGACTGGCGTTGCATTTGATTAGGTTAAGCAAAGCCCTGAAGAGTTCAGAAATCTCTACTTGGCGGCTTAACATATTAGGCTAAAAGCCAGCCCTCAACTAAAGTGGCTACTAAGGGGCGCTGCCCAGAGAAGATCTTCGAGGAGCTTCCCTGGCCTCCCTGTGTTTTGTTTTTGTTTGTTTGTTTGTTCGTTTGTTTTCATTCATCACTAATACCAATGAAAAGCAAATCCATCAGTAAACTTTCCTGAATACCTTCTGTGTCTGGTAACTAAAGGTGTGAAGAAAACACAATCAAGGTCTACATCCAAACTGCTGGAAACACAGGGCTGGTGCCCACAGGAAAGGTGCAGGAGGCAAATTAAGACCAGTTCCTAAACGAAGATCAACAAGCCCGAAGGGACTTCAGCCTAGTGTGAAAAGGACAAAGCATTTTCTTCCCTCTTCCCTGAGCCTTTTAGCTAGGGCAACTCTTAGGGTCTTGGGCATCCGCCTACTCCCACCATGTCTAAGCTGAGCACCCATAGAGAGGAAGAGCAGAAGCCAGACTGGTGCTGGGTGAAGACAGTGTCCGCCCGCCAGAGGGGCACCTCCTGGACACGAGACCCCCTCTTGCCTACCCCCCAGCGAATGAGGGGTGCTAATTGGTCCCCTTCCCGTTAGCATCTCCCCACTACGCCCCGCTGGCTCCATTTTCCCTTTCCCTCTTAAACACTGTCTCGCTCTCCCCGTTTCTGTTTACCCCGTGTCTCCAAACACAAGCAGAGAAAAGCTGAATGCAGATTTCCGTGCCCAGCCAGGGAGAGCGCTCCCGCGTACACCGGGGAAACCGAGGCGCGTGGACACGAGAAGCCAGAGGAGTTAGTTGCCTGCAGCGCCAGCAACAAGCAGCGCTCGCAGAGCGAATTCCCCAAGTGGAAACGGGGTTGCGGGGAGGGTAGCACCCATGAGGAAAGACCCAAAGGTGGCAAAGCAATCGCCAAGGGGTGCGGGGGGGGGGGTGGAGGGGCGAAGCGGGCTTGCACGTCTCGGGAACTGTCCTACGGTCCTGGTGACAGCCGCGCGCTGTCCTGCTCTGGGGAGTGACCCGGTCCACCCAGGCATGCCAGCGGGTCTCGGCCGGAATGCGGGGACCCCTCCCGGGCACCGCGCTACCACCTCCTCCGCGCGGCCTGCGTGTGCGGGGCCGCCCCCCGGGCCCCCCGGCGCGGCGCGGCGCGGGGATGAATGAACTGGGGGGGGGGGGGGCGGCCGAGAGCCCGCCGCCCGCGCTCCCCGGCCCGCCTCACCCGTCCCCCGGCACCTCCCGCAGCTTCAGCCCCAGGGCCTGCAGCTGGTTGGCGAAGCTGACGAACTCCTCCTCGCCGCCGCCGCCGCCGCCGCCGGGCTCGGCTCGGTTCCGCCGCTCCTTGGCCAGGGCCCGGCGCGCCGCCCGCTCGTCCCGCTTGCGCTCGCTCTCGGCCTTCCCGCGGCCGCTGCCCGGCCGGCCCTTGGCCGCCTGCTTCCGGGACATGGTCCCCGCGCCCCGGCCCGCAGCCGCAGCCCCCAACGCCGCAGCGCGCCGGGCGGCCGCCTCTGCGGGGGAAACAGGCAAGCGCCGCACCGAGGGGACCCGGCCGGCGACGGCGACGCGGCCACCGCGCCTGCGCCCGCGCCCCGCCCACGTGACCGCCCGGGGCGGGGCGGGCGGGCGGGCGGGGCGGGGCGGGCGGCGAGGGGCGGGGCGATGAGGGGGCGGGGTGAAAAGGGGCGGGGCGCGGGCACCCGCGCATCATAGAGAGCCGGTCTGGGAGAGCTAGACGAGCACCCATCTGTCTCTGTCCCTGTTCCTTTCTTCCCCCTAGCGGCGGGTGGTGCACTATGCGCGGAGCAGGTGGGACCAGGGTCAGGAAAACTGGAAAAGGTGTAGGGGGAAATCAGAGGCAGAGAAGGTGGAGGAGGAAGAGGAGGAAGGGAAGATGGGGAGGAGGAGGAGGAGGCCAAAGGAAGGAGGAGGAGGCGGGGGAGGAGGAGAAGAGGGCGAGGACAAGAAAGAGGAGGAGGAGGAGGACGAGGAGGAATAGAGGATGTGATGAAGGTTTGGTTTCCATGTCCCAGTGGAAACTAAAAAAGTATTGTAATTTTAAAGTTGTGAACCTTGCAGTAGTTGGGATAGAAACTTTCACCTGTCTCATTCTTGTTTAATTACCCCCATATTACAGGAAACTGAATCTCGGAGTTTTAGTCACTTCAAGATCACACAACCAAGAAGCCAGATTTGCTCTGTATTCAAAACCCACACACTTTATTTAATCCTGTCCTTCTCAATCTCCCTCACCGTCCTCTTACAGCCTAGTTTGCCTAGTTGCTACAGGTTTTCTGAGAACCAGGGCTAACTATTTTTAAAAGGAGACATTCCTAGTCAAACCAGGTCAAGGGGTTTCCTATCACCCACCTACTCTGGAGACGCCATCAATAATTTTGTCACTACCAGCAGTGCCCTCATCTCCCTCATCCTGGCTCCTCTCGGCTCTATGGGAACCCTCATGTGTTTTCTTTCTCTTGGCCCTCTCTCCTTCTCTTTTACCATCCCTGGTAACGTTCCTAATGTTATTATTGCCCTAAATGCTCGTATTTCCTATCCTTACCTACAAATTTCCCTTTGGCAGTACCAACTACTAACTCAGTTTCCATCAGCATGAACATTTCTCTTTGCTTTATCATTCTCACCAGATCCTGTGCGAGATGCCAGGTGAAAAACTAAACTGAGCCAAGCCTAATGATGATTCCCAGAAAGTCCATATTCCACTGAGATACAAAGGCAAGAGCACAGCAGTTATAATGCTGCATGACACGTACTATCAAGGTGAAAAAGTGGAGGGGAAAAGTGGTGTAAACAATGCATAAAAGTCTTCCCAGAAGAATTGAGTTTTAAGCTGACGCTCAAAGGATGAGATGTGTTTGGTCAAATTAATAACATTCAGAGCAAAGGAACTTGTATAATAATATCAGAGCTTGGTCTTAAAGAGCCAGGGAGATAATACAGCGTGCTTGCCTTGCACGCAACTGACCCAGGTTGAATCCACTGCATCCTGTATGGTCCCCTCTGCTCTGCCAGGAGTGATTCCTGGGTGCAAAGCCAGGAGTAACCCACAGCATCATCAGGTGTAGCCCATAAAAAACCAAAAACAAAGCTAAGTTTTGAGATACTGGAAGAAGTACAACTTGATGGCAATACAGCTCTAGAGGTATTAGGTGGAAAATAGGAAAAAGGCCCAGCTCAAGCCCATTATAAAGGTTAAACTGAGACCTTTAGCCATGGACAGTGCGGCCAACCCTGATTCATCCCTGGTGCTGCATGTGGTCCCCCTATCCCTGCCATGATTTACTTCTAATCAAAGAGCTAGGAATAGTCCCTGAGCATTGCTGGGTATCACCCAACCCCCCAAAAAACTAATATATCCATGTCTTTAATCCTGTCCTTCTCGATCTCCCTCATCATCCCTTTAAAGCCTACTTGGCTTAGTTGCTAAAGGTTTCCTGAGAACCAGGGCTAACCCTGGTTTTGATTCTAGTGGGAAGAACGGGTGAAATAAGGATGTCAATTAGTAGATAGCCAAAGGTGAGAGTGATGGCCGGGATTGGGATGGAAGGGAAGAAAAACTGAATGGAAAGACAAATTCAGTGCCAAAAGGTTCACAAAACAGAATAAGGATTGTTAGGGAAGATTTCTCACACTCCACTGAAATGTCTGCAATTTTCCCTCTATAGACCCTTCTTTTATTCTCTACTTCTCAAGAAGAGCAAGAGCAAGCATGGATTTTGCCTGGCTCCTCCTTTTCTTGCACTGTCACTGTCACTGTCACTGTTCTCCCATTGTTCATCAATTTTCTCGAGCAGGCCCAGTAACGTCTCCATTGTGAGACTTTGTTGTTACTGTGTTTGGCATATCAAATACGTCACGGGTAGCTTGCCAGGCTTTGCCATGCGGGTGAGATACTCTCGGTAGCTTGCCGGGCTCTCCGAGAGGGGCAGAGAAATTGATCTCGGCTAGGCCACGTTGGCTGCGTGCAAGGCAAATGCCCTACCTGCTGACATTGCAAATCCTGCAATGACTGCTTTGTTTGTATTTAGTAAAGTTGGGAAGCCATGTTATGAGTGGAAAATCCCCTGGAGATAACATGTCTTGTTCTGGTCCGAATCTGCCACTGTAGTCTTGGGTAAGTTTGCTGAACTGCCCCAGTTCTCTTCTTCTCATCAGTAAAATGGGAATTTTGTAATTCCCATTACAAAGTAAACAGTGAATCACTTAATCACTTAATCACTTAATCCCCGTTATTCATCGATTTATTCGAGCTGGTGCCAGTAACGTCTCCATTCATCCCCGTTGCGTGCTAGCGTAGCCCAATGGTTTCTGTTCATTTTAGGAACATGTAGAGCCTCAAACCGATCATTTAGGGTCTTGACGAAGAAGTCTGACCATCTTATAGGTGGGCGTCCACGTGATCTTTTGATGTCTCGTGGAATCCAATCAGTAATGGCTCTAGTCCAGCGGTTGTCTGTAAACCTCATTACATGTCCAGCCCATCTGATTTTTGATGTCTTGGCAAATGAGACAGCGTCCCTGATTCTTGAGCGTTGACGAAGATCAGAACTCCGGATTCTATCTCTCATTTGAGTGAATCGTGATATTCCAAGCATAGCTCTTTTGATTCCTCTTTGAGAGACCCGAATAGCGTTCTCATCCTGTTTTCGTAGGGTCCAGGTCTCTGAGGCATATGTTAATGCAGGAAGAATAGTGGAATCAAAGAGATGTGCTCGTAGCTGGAGGTTCTTTGTCCTTTTAGTTATTTCTTCAATGCTCTTGAAGGCATTCCAAGTCGCTCTCTTCCTCCTGCACAACTCAGGTGCCAGGTCATTCATCATGTTGATTTCTCGACCTAGGTATATATAACTGTTGCATTCGGAGATGGTGGTTCCGTTGAGAGCGAATGGAGCGTCAGGAACAAGGCTGTTTCTCATAAACATTGTCTTCGTAAGATTCAGCTGTAGTCTGACCTTTCCACATTCACGGTCAAAGTCGTTCAGCATTTGTGCCGCTTGGTTGATGTTTGGTGTTATTAGAACGATGTCATCAGCAAAGCGGAGGTGGTGTAGTTGCCGACCATTTATCTTCACTCCCATGTTTTCCCATTCCAGTCATCGCATGATGTTCTCAAGGGTGGCACTGAAGAGTTTTGGTGAAATGGTATCACCCTGCCAAACCCCTCTCTTGATATGGATGATTACTTCTTTGTAGAATGGTGAGATCTTGGTAGTGAATCCGCAATAGAGCTCACGAAGGATCCTGATGTATTGAGTTTGTATGCCCTGATTGGCTAGGGCTTCCATGACCGCTTCCGTCTCAACAGAATCAAAGGCCTTCTTTAAATCAATGAACGTTAGACAGAGCGGCATCTTGAACTCCCGAGATACCTCAATGAGCTTGGTTATTGTGTGGATATGGTCGGTGGTACTGAATCCTTTTCGGAATCCAGCTTGTTCACATGGTTGTCCTTCATCTAGTGTTCTGCTAATCCTATTCAGGATGACTCGAGTGAATAGTTTGTAGATGACAGACAATAGGCAGATTGGGCGATAGTTGCCAATGTCGTGGATGTCCCCCTTCTTGTATAGTAGTACAGTCCTGCTGGTTTTCCATTGGGATGGAAACTTGCATTCAGACAGGTAGCGTGTGAAGAGTCGAGCCAATGTATTGATGAGTACTGATGGTAAGTTCTTCAGGTGTTCAGGTCTGATCTTGTCTGGGCCAGGTACTCTTTGTTTCTTTACCGACGAGATGGCATGTTGGATTTCGGAAGGGAGAACATTGGGAACGACATATCCATCATGTGGTATGTGGTATGTGGGCAAGTGGATGTGGCTATTAAAGAGATCTGAGTAGAAGTCATGAATAATCTTCTCCATTGCCCTTCTGGAAGATGTGATAGATCCATCATGATGTCGGAGGGCATTCATCTTGGTTTTGTAGTTGGTGAAGGACAGGCGGGCATTACGAATGTTTTTTCCAGCTTCTGCTGCATCTACCAGTACTGCTGCTCTCCTGTTTTTGAGGTCATCCTTGATGGATTCTCTGCACTGTTTTGCCAGTTCGGACGTTCGCTTGTGGTTGCCTGAGGCACGTGCCAAGCCACGTTGGCGAATAAGTTCAAGAGTGTTCGAAGAAAGACGGTTTTTTGTGGTTATCTCTCTCTTGGCATTCCTTGCACAATCATGGAGGTGCTGAATCATTCGATCGTATTCCTCATCAATGTTGTCAATGACGGCATCTTCCCATGTTGCCGTAATAGAGCCAAAGAGCTCCCAGTTGGTGGTTGTTCTGTGAAGGCCAAATAAAATAGTAATAATAATAACAAGTGTTAAATTGTACCTAAAACTACTGTGTGTACTTGTGTACCTAAAACCACCCAAAAGACAAGAATGGGTGGAGTTCATGCCCACTTCAATCAGCTTAATCAATGGCTGAATAAATAGCAGTACTCCTAACTCCTATATTTAAAAAAAAAATTAATCATATGATTTGTTTCATATCTACATTTTTCCCCCATGCTACTGTTT